TATTTCATTTTTTAAATCTTTGAGCTTCTGTTCTATATAAGACACTGACTAAAAAGCGATTAGTTTGAAGATTTAGAAACATTGCTCCACATAAACACACGCATGCTCCCCTCAACATCAGCATATTTGCATACGTAAATAAATACATATATATATATATATATATATATATATATATATATATATATATATATGTGTATATATATGTATATATAAATATACATTTTATATACATTTACATGTGTGTGTATGTGTGTGTACATACACACACATGCAAGTGTCATATACATGCAAACCCACACAAACATATATCCACTAATTATTTAGATAATTACAGGAACAGGATATTACCTGATTATTTGACATCCCAGGTATTAGGATATTAGTTTAGGCTTCCGTGATTAGAGATTAGATGTAGGGAGTTTCCTTAAATTAAAGGAAACCATTTCCTCAAGAAAAGAAGTCTTTAGTAACAATGTTAGAAAGACCTACTAATTGTAAATATGTCAATCACTCCCCCATAGCTAATAAATGCTACATATTAGAGATCTGACAGCGATTTTATTTATCTACTGTTTTAGAATGTGTAAAACATCAAAGAAATCGTTGTATTAATTAATTAATTGTTTTTCTCAAAAATAGGAGAGTGAAAGAGAGATATGGATAGAGACTTAGAAGGATACAATAGTTCAAATGGGAATTAACCATGTCAACTGTGTTGCTGGTGGAAGAAACATTGTATTTATGTATGGACACCGGCACAGATTACTATGTAATTGACACAAAAGTACTTTAATAAGAAATTTTTTTTTCCAAAATAATAACGTCACTAGGAGTAAGAAAGCGAGTGAATATTTCTTTATGACATTCTAAAAGAATATATAGAAAGATTTCGTGAATGAAATAAATGAAAATAAAGAATACATAAAGATATCTTATATTTCTATTCAGTTTGATAAATGCAGAGACATCCTTAATCATTAATTTATTTTCTTTCCTTCTCACCCAGAACCAATAAAAGAAAAACGATATCAAACAAACAAGCATCTATATCTATACCTGTGACTATATACCTTGCTACGTATCAATATCTATATATTTACCTAGATATCAACATGTGCGTTAATTTGTGAATTTTGTGGATATATATATATATATATATATATATATATATATATATATATATATATACATACTCACGAACACCAAAACATACATGAGCATATGCATGTATGTTTATTTCTATACATATAATTTGTATACAATTCTTATTAATTTATGGTGAGTATTAGTATTTCTATACATACAATTTACACCCAATTCTTATTCATTTATCGTAAGTATTAGTATTATGGGCATTATTGTTTTATTCTTAAGATTTATTCAATATTAGTAGCCCTCCCTTTCTCTCTCTCCACACACAAACACACATAAATATATATATATATATATATATATATATATATATATATATATATATATATATATATATATAAAATGTTTGTATATCTACCTGTATATGATTGTGTATATATCTTGTTGGTAAATTAATATATGTATCTATATGTGTATATATGTATATATACAAATACACACACATACACGTGAACACGTATATTCATGCACACATTTATAATACCTAAATATAAATATATATATATATATATATATATATATATATATATATATATATATATATATATATATATATATATATATATATATACATACTCGTGTATGTATATGCATATATATATATATATATATATATATATATATATATATATATATATATATATATGCGTATGTGTGTGGGTTTATAAACGTATTAAATAGTGTACATATATCATATGACTTGCGAAGTTGTATATATTACAAATTAGTGCATATTATAGATTAAACTGTAAAATCTTTTTCGCTATAAGCAACCATCGGGAATAGAGTAACAAAATATTTTTGGTATATCGATATATTTTAGACATTATATATATATTGGAGCATCGTTATTATACGTGAAACTTGCGAAAACAAAAGTAATTATGGCGCGTTATACAAGCCTGACGGTGTACTTCCTTGGCCTGAATGGAGTCCGCTAGCGCCTCCGTTGATACCAAAGCCATTACCAGCTCCATTAACACCACCTAATCCACCTCCATTTACAAATCCAAAACCACTTCCTTCTTGTACTCCAGTAAGGCCACCAGCAACTCCACCAAAGCTGGCCTCTCCACTTGCACCTTCAAGACCTCCGAGAACCTGACCGCCTGCTGCTGCTGCGGAACTGAGAGCAGTTTCCAGGTCTACTCCAATGGGAAGGGTTGGGTTTTCTCCGTCTTGGTAGTTGACGAAGTAAATCTCAGGATCAGCCTGTGGCTGTGCTGGTACTTCGATCACTCGCTGAACTTGTTGATCCTGTTTGTTGAGCACATAGACAATGTTGTTCTGTCTTGGTGGAGGAAGAACGATTGGTTCAGGTGCTGGTCCTTCCTCAGGAAGGCGTACGAAGAGAATGTTGTGTTCTACTGCTGGAGGAGGAATACTGGGTGGTGGTCCGACAGACTGCTCTTGTTCAGGAACGGTAAATAAGTATACTTTTCTTGTGATTTCGGGGGTTACGCAAGTACCATCTACATGTAGTACCTCTCCATCTCTGCATCCGGTAATGGCACCCTCACCGCTGCCCAAATCAGCTCCGCCTGCTCCTCCTGTCAAAAGACCTGCTCCAGCGGAGAGATCTTCACCAGATGGTGCTCCCAAATCGTATCCTTGTGGTGCTGCAAAAGCAGCGGCTGCAACTGTCACCAACAAACCCTGTCAAAAATACTAGTCATTAGTATCAACATATTTTTTTCTTTTTTCTTTTTACCATTATTGGAAACTTCAATTTCGAAGGCACTGAACGTACGATGAACTTCATTGTGA